TCTTTTTTCTATATTAGGTTCTTGAGGGGATGATTGATGTGGTATATCATTAGCATCAATAGGCAAACTTTTGATCTTGATATGCTCAAATTCTTTCTCATTATATGGTTGTTGATTATCACATTGTTGCACACTTTCATCATCTCCTGATACAACTTTGTAACTTTCTTTCTCCAATCTGACCTCAATATCAATTTCTTGAATAACAAAAGTCTGAACTTCATCATAATTCTCCCCCTGAATTTTAGACTTAGGGGAAAAATATATCAAGGTCTCATGAAAAACTACATCTATAGTAGTAAACATTTGTTTGGTTTATGAATTGTAGCACCGATATCCTTTTTGGTGATTCGCATAGCCAAGGAACACATACCTTTTAGCTCTAGAAGATAACTTACTTCTCTGATACTTGTGTAAGTGAACATAAACAATACAACAAAAAACTCTATGTATTAGTTCAGCAATTCTACGACTTACTGCTTCATCTGTAAGTGATTGAAGAGGTGTTTTATACTCAAGAGACTTGAACGGTGTTCGGTTGATAGTGTATACTGCATATGTGAAAGCTTATCCTCAATATATTGCTGGCATGTGAGCTTCAATCAGTGTAGCTCGGACCACCTCCAATAGATGGCGATTCTTTCATTTTTTTTCCACCCCATTCTATTGTGGAGTATTTGGATAAGATCTCTGATGAACAATTCCTTTGGCTACTAAAAAATGTTAAAGTTCTGATTGTATATATTCTCCTCCGTTGTCACTATACAGTACCTGAACTTGTGATTTGTATTGAGTCTCAATCATTTTGTAAAATTTCTAAAACAGTCCTCAAACTTCACTTTTAGATTTCATCAAACATAACAAAGTCATTCAAGCACAATCATCAATAAACGCTACAAACCACGTTGAGCCACCCAACGTTGTAATCTTAGATGGACCCCATACATCAGAGTGAATTATCATAAAGGAAGAGAGCTTTTATTTGAAATTAAAGAAAAATATGTTTTGTGACTCTTTGCAAGCTCACAAACATCACAATACAAAGTTGAAGTGTCTACTTGGTCAAACACATTTGGAAATAAAATTTTTATGTAACCAAAAGATGTATGTCCAATACGCTTATACCATAACCAAATATCATTGTCTTTTCTCACTTCTTGAGACCTTTTTGTTGCTAGTACTTGACCAAGTCTCTTTGAATCTTTTTCTGTCAAGTCCAGGTAATACAACCTTCATCGTCTAATACCACAACTAATTAATTGTCTTCCTCGTTTGAATGTCCTTAAAAACACAAGAGTCAGACCCAAAAATTACAACACATAAAAGAGCTTTGGTTATTTGCGAGACTGACAATAAATTATATTTAAGAGAAGGAACAACAAGGACAGTATCAATGTTCAAATTGTTTGAAATAGAGACAACTCATTCTCCAATGATAGTAGATTTACTACCATTGGCTGTGAAAATACTTTTTTGTGAGGAAAATTTAAGATTTTTAATCTATCTAATATCAAAAGTCACATGATCAGAACATGCAGAGTCAATTATCTATGCATTATTCAGAACGGTAGATGTGCTTATTAAGACCTTACCATTAGAATCATCACTACCTGCGGTTGTAGAAAACATCATGTCTTTGTCGTCCTCTTTGTCAATGACAATTACAGAAACAGTTGGATTTCTTTTTTAATTCTTCTTCGATACTCGACTATGATCCCACCACTCGGGGTATCCTATGATTTCATAGTATCGTTCCTTGGTGTGTTCATTTTTATTACACTGAGTACACTTGTAGTTACCTTTTTCAGGGTCTTTTGATTGTTTCACTTGCTTCCTTGTCATCATAATTGTGGAATCAGAAATCATATATTTTGTTTTCATCGTTATTCGCCGGATTGTCTCTCTACAAATCAATGCATAACATTATTCTAAATCAGGTGTCACTTCTTTGCGCAAGATTTGTTCATGAACTTGCTCAAAATCATCATCCAGTCCAACAAGGAATATATGTACCCTCAATCTTTCAATGAACTTCTGATATGACTTCACATCATCAGAGTCATTCATTACTATTTTGTCACGATGATCCAATCTCCTATAAATCTCAACCAACTCCCCGTAATATTCAGTTAAAATTCTATTATTTTGTTTTGCAGTGAATGCTCTTTGATTCAGGACAAACACCTGTAGCTCATCACTTCCATCATAAAACACCTTTGACAAAGCATTCTAAATATCGAGGGTAGTGAGTAAGCAAAGATACTTTTTCATAATTTCTGGTTTCATGGACATATCAATAGTCATCTTTTCACTTTATGGTTTTTAGCATACCACTTTTCATATCCCTCATCTTTTTCTGTTGAAGGCTTCACTTTCCCACGAATGTAGGACAATTTTTTTCTCTCTGCAATGTGCATCTCCATTTGTAATCATACGTCATAGTTTGATTCATTTAGGATTATGCCTACGTTGAATACACATTCAAATTGTTGAACTACCACTAAAATTGTTTTTTCTGTCATCTTTCCAGTTAAGATCTCCAAGGATTTAGAAAGAAAAAAATTTAAGCTTTGGTATCAAATTGAAAAACTTAGAATTTGTTGTATAATTTTATTTATATATCTTTTGGATAGAAATACCATATTTTTATAGTATTTTCCTCTTACAAATCAAGACTAAATAAAGTAAGTTATGATTATGTACTATTTTATACAGTTATACAAACCTATAATTTAAGTAATCAAATATTTTTATTCCAACACTTTTGTAAAAAAAAAAAAAAAGTAAAAACCGTGTACACGATCAAAGAATTACAACTCAAATTATTAAGCTTCCAACATAATGTATATATTTATAATGGGAGAGGAGTTGGATATAATAAATCAATCTTTAATTAAATTAATCAGACTACAATCTTACCTACTATTTTTGCTATTAAAATCAATTTTTTTATTATATCACTTATATTTATTTTATTTATGCGTCAGAAATTCTTTCTTTACACGTATCTTTATTTTGAGGGTCAACTATTTGTGAAAGACAGTATTATAGTTCAGAAAAAGAAATCATGTCGGTCTTTCAAAGACTATTCGTATTTTAAGAATACAAAAAATTAAATAATATAGGACTAGACATTTAATGATAGAGACAACAAATCAAATAAATACAAAGACAAGCGTTAACTCGGTTAAAGAATAAAAGTAAAAATTGCTATAAAAAATTATTAAATTTTGTATTGTGTGATTTTTTTAAAGGAAAAAAACGAAGAAGATAATGTTATTAGATAGCACAAATTTATGCTGGTACGGAAAACTGATAGAAATAAGTAAACTTTTTATGGAAAAAAAAAAAGGAAAAGAGAGGAAATTAGAACAACGTATGATTGAACCAATCAAATATTAATATGTGAAACTGTTTAGCATTGCTGTAAAAAGAGGGTATTTATAATTAATCCCTTACTCTACGTTTGAAGGGTATTGGTAATGAAGAGTGTAGGTATAAAAATAGAAGGTGAAAATAGCAGGACGAAAATATGCTTGAAACCGTTTTGTTAACTGTAAGTGGCTAACGCCAATTTATAATGGGGATGAAACGAGGGATGAGTAGTGAAAGCATGAGTGTTGTCGGTTTCGCAACATATAAGCTCTTTTTCCGATAGATCCATGCGTTGGATTGAGTCTGAGGAGGATATAAAACACTTGGAATAAAAGATTGTGTTGGATATTCTATGAAAACGAATTCAATAATTGTACGAGTGAGTGTTGTATATGGATCACAGTTTGTTTATGTGGGTAGCTATCAGGTGGTGGTGGGGGTGCCTACTTTGGCAGCTTGACTGTTCGTTGCATTTGGATACTTGTCTATTTTTGGTGTCAAGCAGCTTAGGTTACCATATTAACCCACCCAAAGTGGTTGAGTGCTAGCCTGGCAATAGCTCAACTTTTCAAGTGGGTCACCACTCCTTACTAGGCTTTTTCCTTTCATATATGCTTCCTTCTTAGTTATCACCACTCACTTAAACTTCCCTATCTCTATCTCTATCTCTCTCTTCTGCCTTGTGGTGCTAAGCTCTTTGCTTCGTACAAATCCTTTGACTGTGTATTTGGGTGATGTGTACAAACCTGATTTTGAATGAGATTGATTTTACTAAGATTAACTTTCAATTTATGTGAAATTCATTTTGAACTTATTAGTGTAGGTGCACACAGTACTATTGTATTTGAAGGTCAATTACAATGTGTTTTTCCATTAAAAAAACAGTTATAATGTGTCTGAATTGGAGGTGAGTAACCAAAATTTATGGTGTCATCATGAAAAACTAGAAATAATGTTTGCCTTTAACCTGAAAAGTCTTGATTGATTTCCACGAGAATGAAGCTAAATACAATGTAAACAAAACTCGAGGCAAAAGATACTTGAGTTTGTTTCAAATCCTAATCTATTTGAACTTAATTAAAATCAATATGTTTTATAGCATATTCGTAAAATTTACTTAAAATCTTGTCAATTGGTATTTTAATGTGATTTTGGTTAATCTAACGAGAATCCAAACACGGGTGGGCGTTGGTCATGGAAGTAAAAAACAAGGACCATATTTTCTGCTGTGATATGTGAACTACTGGTTAGTGTTCTGCTACCTTCTATTCGAATTTAGCAACGTAATGCTTGTGTTCTGGAGACCAGAGAAATAAAAAAACAATTTGTGACCATATTCAGACATGCCTGTCACTGATGGCAACAAAGAAAATGGAATCAGAAACCCTCTTTAGTTTCTTATATTCTCTTATGTTGTTCCAAACTGCATTGGCAGTAGCACAGTAACACATTAAAAAAGCAGTAAAATTACAACAAAAGAGACATTCCTTTTTTCTTTTTTTCCTTTCAAAAATAATAATAATAATAAAAAAGCGAAGGAGTTCTCTTTGTCATTGAACAGCATCTACTTTGATATTCCCCAGTCTTCCTTTCCACAGCAGAAGCAAAAGCCACAGCTAAAGTTGTCATTTCCTTCCTTCATTGAAACCACCTGACATCAGGAAACAAATGAGAATGAGGCACGTGCTAGCTTATAGGAAGGACACAAACATAAAAACATAATGTCAAAAACAATCGATCACCTGGTTCCCCCGAAGTTTGTTTTCCAGAACGCTCAAAGAAACTGAAATGCTTCTGAAATTTAGATTTTCTCTGCAGTGATTGACAAGTTTAGCTCTCAAAATTAACAAAATGTGCAACCTGTCAATAAGCACAATGTCTTAGAAATATAAAAAAATGAAAATTTAGATGTACCTTTATTTTTGTCCCCGAGAAGCATGGAGGGAAATCCACTGCGTTTTCCACTGCTCCATTCCCTGAGAAACTGACTTTCTTCTGTTCAATTAAAACAAATTCCCATGAATCTCCTTAATCAAATTGATGCTGAGGAGAAATTTTATACACAGATAGTTATGTCAATAACATTACATTACAATTACAACTACAATTACATTTGCTTGAATGACTTGCCTTGGCACAGTTAAGAACAGGGGAACTGGCAGTGTCATCAAGAGGTGAAGGATGCGGATTGTTACCATGTTCTTTGACCTTCTTCTTCTTCTTCTTTTCTGATTCTTTGGAGTAGTGAGAAGTAGAAGGATACCAATTTACACAGTAGTGTTGTTCATCATCTTCACGATAATGAGGAGGACCAGATGAAGCATCAGAGATCATGGATAAATCTTCTTCCTCCTCTTCGTCCATTGTAGCCCCCTTTCCTTCATATTCTACTATCCCACCTCTCCTCTGGAAATAAGTTTCAGATAGAGAGGATTGGTCCAAGTAATGTGTCCAACCAGATTCACCAGCACTATTGTATTGTGAACTTGATATATCCATTTAACTCTTGTTTCTTCGAGTGATTGGCACTCTTATGTTGTGATCAAGTGAAAGAGTGTGGAGTGGTAGATAAAGGATCTGTTTGCTCTCTTTCTTTTCTCTACTTTTGTGCTTCTCAATGTGATTCTTCTCAGTTTAAGTAGAAGGGGAGGAACACTAGAGGGTGGAGGAAAAAAATAATTTCATTGACAAACAAAAAGAGAGAGAGAAAGAGAAACAAACGAATCACACAGGAATTCTAAACTGCTTGTCCCTTTGCTCACTCCTTTCACCTTCTTATTTTATCTTTATGCAAATGAATCAACACTGCCAGTTGGCTTTGTGTGCGTGTGTGTACTAAAGTGTCCATTAGTGTAGACTGTATAAGGAGAGTGTGTGAAAGAGAGAGATCGTGGCAGCATTACCAATTACCACCCTCCATACATAGTAAGTACTGTCCCTTCAAGTTAAAAGTTAATTTTAATTTGGTGCAGTCACTGCTAATGATGCTTTAATGATTAGTATTTTGTTCCCGCTAATTGTTCACATTATGTTTTGCAACAACCAACAAACTAATTTCTTCAGCTTTATCTCAATCTTTTTTAAGTTTTAACTGAACAGCAATTTGTCACAATCGCCAACCATGCACTCGTGCACCACATTAGCTTAGTAAAATAATTTCTGTTGGGGTGTGCTCTCGGTGCTTCTTTATTATCTCATTTAAGTGTTGTTTTGGCTTCTTCCACTTTTTTAGTTGATAAATAATGGGGTGCCGAGAAAGTATACCTACATACGGAGATATGTAAGTAAAGGATTAAACACCACTCTTGGAGTTAGACAGAGTCATGTTTCATAAAGAGGAAGCACTGGTAAGCACCGACTTGAGTGTGAAGCCAACAAAAAGCAATTATGCTTACAGAAAAAAAGACTGCTGGTTATTTACATAGAATATTCTTTTCAATGCTTAAATACCGTGCAGGCATGAACATGGAAGAGATTTTACCAGACAGACACATGACTCACATTTTCATGTTCTCTTGGACTTTCTTTTTCAAATGCAAAACGTTACTAACCGAGTAGTAACAAACACTTAAGTTCCTTAATAAATATGTATCTGCAGCGTAAAATTAAATGCAGAAAGTGAAAAAGAAGCACACAGTAGAAAATATCAAGCATCACGATGATGATCCAAAAGATGGGGTACTGTACATTAAGATATACCCCGCATGTGTACAACTCGCTTTTTGAGACAAAAACTTACCCTTCCCAAATGGTAGAAAATCCATATGGTACTTACAACACATGAAGGGCCCAGTGTAATAGGGTAGCTCTTACTAAATGTGTGATTTTGTACACAGAAAATAATGTCATATTTGAGGAACACTATGCTTGGGATCTGACACTTTGTGGCACATATATGACTAGCTTACTATATTATGCAATGTACGGATAGATACCCATTATACAGTAAAAAGTGAAAAAAACCAATTCGTGATTGACGTTGGAAACGTGGCAATGACAATAAATTTTGCTTTTCTATATTTGTTTTGGACTTATTTGTGAATAATCAATTGAGTGTAGTCACCAAGTGGCCCTTCCTCAATCCAAGAAGCTAGTGAATGTGAATCTCTTATTCGTTTATTTAAAAAAAATGTTTAGTCTATGGACAATCAAATGTGACTTTATGCAAAGATGTCCCTCTCTTTTTATAGATTGTGTCCTTTTGCAATTTTCTGATGTGCATGCTACTCTGTTAAGCACCGGAATTATCAAACTGAAATATATACACGTAGTCAACTAAAAGCTAAACCATCTTAAATAGATAACAGAGCACGCAAATTCACTTTTAGAATTTGGGACTCCAAGGTATATAGAAGCAGAACGAGACAAGGGGACAAAAATACTTTATATCACATCCTCTTTTTCAACCTTCTTTTTTTTTTTTGGAGGACCAGAGGTTGTGAATGTCGTGTTGTTTAGTAGTATGGTCAATAATCTTTGATTTTTTTTATTTTTTATTTTTAAACCTTGCTTTTATTTTAGCTATTGTAAGCAAATGTAAGTTGTGATGGATTTTACAAGATTCTGCCATTAATTAATTTCTAGCCACTCCAGTAATTAATGTCAATAAAAAGTATACAGAGTGAATAATGCTGAGAATTTTTGTGTTTAAATTAAGAATTAAAAATTCCTAAATTTATAATAAAAAGTAGAAGTTTAGGGTTTATTTTTTTTTAGGTTTCAAAAGTAGTTTTAGAAATCAAATTTTGAGGATTATTTTTAGTAATTTTAATTTATTTTTTTAAAACAAATGAGGATGTCATTGATAATAATGAAAAATGATGAAAAACGAGTTTGATAATTTTATTATTATGAAGATTGATGATATAATCAATGAGTTACTTACTGTCTATTTATTGGAGAAAAAAACGCATATATAAAAAGCATGAAGTAGAGAGTATCTCCTCCAGAACTATTTTGTTTTATTTAAAAGAATATTTAAAATTTAATTTTTTTTGTGAATATAAAATGGTAAATGATGTACTATTTATTTAGACAGGGAAATGGTGACGTATTATCGCATAAACTTAAACCGCAATTTGTTTTACCAAATCACATCACTGATTATTCAACTAGTCATTGAAAGCTAAAAGTTGCCTCCATAAAGAATTAACTACAAATCAAGATTTAAATAATAGCATGGAGAATCAAACTTGCCTCCATGGGAAGATGACTAATAAAAATTGAATAATTTTTTAATCTTTAAACCATATTTTGAATTGGAATATGTGACTTTTTCTCTTCTACCTTCCTATTTGTAATTTCCCACCTTTAATATGCAACTATAGTAAAGCGTCACTGTATATATAACAGCTAGCATGGCAACTCCAACCTTACGAGCTTGGCTTTTATTGACACTTTTTTAATTGCAAAGTCAAAGATTGCCGATTGCGACGGTCCAAACCACCGCTACTTTAATATTACTTTAAGTCTTTCAGGATTCCCTTTTCTTCTACACCAAATTTCTTTTCCTTTTCACACCCAAGATCAATAATCTCCGGGTTCAATCTTCCTCCACCCAAAAAAAAAAACACAAAATGATATTGATTTGATGAATAATATTAATTAGAATTTTGATTTACTAGCTTCACAAAAATGTATAGATACACATGGTTATCTCAATTATTATGCAGAGTGACGTCAATTGTAATGTTGTTCACGAGTTCATAACTTTTACGGAAATTGGTGAATAGCAATGGCATGCGGATCTGCAAAGTGACAGAAACAAACACTGATTCTTCGGCCTCCTGAGAGACGAGAATTAAGCCAAAAATGACAAATTGCCAACTACCCTATCACCCTAATAAAGCACGTGGTTTTAAGTCTCATGGTTTTTCTTTTATTCCATCATAATTTTTGAGTCGAAATTAAAAATAATAAAATAAACCATGTTAACAATTTTTGAACTTTATACATAACTCATAATAAAAATATTCGTGGAGTGAAGACAACAATTCGAGTAAGACAAAATTGTTTTGAAGGATTGAATTGTAATTGCGTGGTGTATGATGTGGGTGTAGATAAAAAATAGTGGAATCTAGAGAGCAATGTTTGAAGTTGGAAATAGATAAACCATGTGGGAATATCCAGGGATGATGGCAGAAGGGGAAACGAAAGAAACAATATTGGAAATTGTCTTTAGTGCAATAAATGTTTGAATTTGGAAACCTGAGAAGTTTGAAGCAGAAGATGAAAAAGAAGAGAGAGAGAGAGAGATGAAAAATAGGGAATAGGAGTGAAAGCGGCGATCCAATTACAGCTGACCATGTTTTGCGGATGATATAGCCGTGTGATTTAGATAGGGATGGTGGTTGTTAGTATTTTTTGTATCCACTCACTCACGCACACATGAATGGTGAAGTATTGCAAAACCAGAATGACCCCATGTGATGTGATCACACTATTTCCACTTTTCATATGCTGAACTCACCGCCCTTTCTGCACTGCGCATGGCCACTTACAACTCCCCTCCCCTTCTATTATTGTACTCGCCACGTTTTCAAATCTTAACGGACTACCTCAACCAATTTTGTTGATGATCTTTTCTTCTTTTCATGTTGTGTGTGTTTGGCCTAGCTAGCCACACTTGTCACAAGAAATTTCTTACTCTATCCAACTCATGCAAGACCGAAATGTCTAATCAATTTTCAAAAGATTAGTGTTGCTGACTTGGTGGTGCATTGGTCTGCATGATGAAAAAGAAACTATTGTGATGCATATGATATAGCAGGTGCATTGATTTGTTGACAAATCTTACAGACACAAATTATTTTCTGTACTATTTGTTGTGTCCTTTATGCCTACTGCTTAATGCTTGAAGAGTCACATTTTTTTTTCTTCAAATATTCAAGACTACTAGTTAAGTTGGAATAACCCCTTAATGACAACTATATGTATTCTTACTTTTTTTTTTCACATATGAATCTAGTTACTGTAAAACATGATGTAGTTTTCCTACGTTCTTAAATTATTATAGAAAACTACTCTATAGGATCTTTAGATTATTGATTTTCACAATTTTGCATACATCAATACATGAATCATAATAAAAAGACTAACCTTGATCCATGAGAATCTTTTCTTTGATCTTTTCGTTCTCCTATCTCCTTTTCCCAATCTATCTCTTTGTCTTTCTTTCTCTTCTCACGCTTCGCTTTCTTGATGGTTTACCGTGAAAAAACCTTATGGCCAGAGACAGAACCCTAATCCCTTTTATTAACCAACTTCCATCAAGTTGGTTACGTAAGTTAATATTTTATTTTATCTTTATTTTATTCTGACTTCACATAATAACCAACGAGGTCCTTATAATTTATTAAATCACATTTGGGCCTATCATTATATTTCATATGAGTCACATAATGGAATGAATTAATTAAATTAATTCTAACATTCTCCCACTTGACTCATGTGATGTCATACGATTCTGTGATTTAATACTTAAGTCATAATGCGCATTA